TGTAATCCGAGAAGCCAAAGTGCCATGATATGTGCTATATGTCCGAATGTTGTTACCTATATGCGTACCGCAGTTGGCTTTATATATTTCGATTAGTACGCTCATGTCGGACATTAATATCGAGGCGTATCTTCAAAATGTATCGACTATTGCGTAGAGCATACAATTTACACAATTTCATTACTCGTTTTTGAAAATTATGAAAAAACTATTTCTTTTTACTCAGTCGTTCCCTATTTCGAAAACAAAAACATCGGTTCAAATTTCTGTGAAAAAACAACTGCATTTTGTACAATTTTTTTAGGTCAGGCAAGGGACTAACTCATTTTAACGAAAGAAATTTAAACTGCTTATCCGTAAACATTTAGACTTGAGACAATTCTTAGGAGTAATGCGCTAGAAATGGGTTGACCAAGCCATCCTACACATACCCGACCAATAAAAAATGCTCATATTCGCTTAGTAGCACATCTACGTAAACGCTTAGGATTCCAGTTTCGAGTATCAAGGATAAAAGAGATGCTTCTTTGCACCATCTATTTTTTGGTATGACGTGTAAAGTTCATCGAGCGTAACTTACGGACGCACACACCAAAAGGATTCGGCTCATTGGCACTTAATCAGACGTGCTATGTGCTCTTGGCTCTGATCACGTGCAGACACAGAAAATGTAGGTTCTATAAAGATTGACAGCTACCTCGTACACAGTCACTAAAGCTTCCCCCGTCAGCCTTGCAACAATTGCAAGGATTAAATGTTTTACAGGTTATCACCAGGGTGATGATATGTAAGAAAGAATAATGTATCGCTATCCTTATTCAGAGTGGTTTATATAATTATAAGCGAAGTGTTTAGCATTTATAGTTGGAATCAATACATTGGAACTTTAGACCCTTTGGCGCATCGTGTGCATTCATTTTACACCTGCGAGGATACATCTGATGAGATCTTAAGGTGCTCAGTATAAAATATTGGTTAAAACTACTGATCACTGTACAGAATATCGTAATTGACCTGCGCATCATGAAGAATTTTCACCATACGGTACATTGAGGCGATTCAAAGCCAACCACTTGGGATTCTACCACATAATCTATTGTAACTAATAGGCATCGTTCCCGGGAATTCATCATGTAACGCCAAAAATTCATTTCTGGGTTCGCAGTCGAAACAGTTTCCCACATGCTGTAGCACGCTTCGAAAAAAACCTCCTCGATGTAAGTGTAATCGCACATATTGGTACGCGCGTTCCACCACTTTTTGACCACCTTCCAGACTTGCATGATAATAGCGAATACTTCTTATGAAGTAGCTCCGGACACTAAACGAACGAGCTCAACACCATCATCGCGATTTGTTGCCGATCGCGAGCAAAAGTACAATAGTTCACCTTATCTACCACGTAGTATCGGCAATCACGGCACTTGCTTCAGCTACTTCAGCACCAAGCTCAGTTACATATCGACTAAGTAAATGCCGAGATTAGCAATCCAACTTTATTTGTCTTGCGACTATTACGGTCGAGTCGCACCTGCTGTAATACATAACCTTGTAAAAATGTCAAATGCATCGCGCCTTCGTAGAGTCAGTCTTGTAATCGCCGCCATCTTGATCACTTGATCATTGTACGGTGGCGTCAATACTTCGTTTCATCTTTTGATGGTGCTCATTTGTGGCTATCCTGATCATTTAGCACAATCATGCTAGTTTCCAGCTGAAAAGCGGTGCAAGTCAGTCAATCCGCACTTTGAACCCGATTGCGCTTAATGTATAAGAAATCACGTGTCGGCCACGAACAAAGTGAGTTAAAAAATTTCAAAAGCGGTAATTATAGCACTGGTGCTGCAAATAGTAACACATTGCACCTGCCTGATGAACAGATTGCAAGCATTACCGATGACAACCGACCTCTTGTTTGTCTCGCTTGCAGCTCTCAAGTCAGCAGTAAACGTAAAATTCTGCGTTGTTCACTCTTGTTTTAGTATCAAATTGCGACGCAACTGACGGTGTTGTACACTCGGGAAATCTACATGTCGTTGCACTGTAGCCGTTCTTATTTTTTCTTCATACGTGCTGACCTGTCCAAACCGACGACCATACTCATTTCGCCATGTCTGACCGTAGGAGGCTGCAAACTGAGATACTGTCTCAGTTGCTTCAGTGGTGCAATCGCGATCAACCTTTCAGACATGTCCTCTCGTGGTGTTATAAGTTGCAAGGGTTCCGAGGAGTTCGTCCTAATCTTTGTTGCGACGACTAATATTCAACGTCTAAGTCGAAAGTAAAGTTTTCCACCTCTTAAATCGTCCATTGAGAACGAAAGACTGCATTAATTATGCCAAGGTATAGCATTTCGTGAGTACCTCAAAAATTTTAATTAGATCAGCAGTATGAATCAAATATCCAACATACGGAGCAGGGCCAAAACTTCCTTCTCCACCAATCTGGAATTGATTTCAATTAATTTTGATATTCAACTAACGCAAATAGCAGGCATTCACTTCATCATCGTATTGTAGCAAAGCTGTATATACCAACCATTTGCTAGCAATAACCTCGATCACTAGTCAGCGTTCTGGATCAAATTGTATGAGCCTCGTGGTTTGGGAAATTTGAGCATTTAACGTGATAAGTGCAGTCATAGCCTTCACCTGACGATGAGTACCAATTCATTTTCCTCTAAATCTTTAAAGCTAATTCTTTTTATCCTCCCCATTTATTGTAACTAGCTAATGATCGTGACCACCTACAGGTTGCTACCTGAGGTCGTTAGCATTCTAGGTATCACAGACGTGATCATAGCTGGATGAGCGTACATTTTCCATATTCTGTGAATGCCTGATCTCATGCAAATGAGCTTCCATCGATTCATACAAGATGAAGGCGCGTATATTATTTTTTATTAATCGACTGTAATTGTTCGAGCTTCCTAGACATGACTGCAATGACCGCTGTGTCTGGATAAGGATAAATTTACCAACGAGCCCGGACCATCTAGGTTAGCTTCAGTTCCTTTATTGACAATTGTTACCTGATACACTCAACCTTGTTAATCCTTATAAACCTTTAGATGGGCTGGTCGACAAATTCCACTGACCACATGCTCCCAACAATCTGTCCACATTTTAATAGAGAAACGACTGGGATGACGCTGGGCTTAAATGTCATCAATGTGGGATCTCCTTCCTATAACCGAAGTTTCGGTGCATTTTTCTCGCCGTTTTGAACACTTCGATTAGTTGAAAACCCCGTCGTCACTTGACGTCCGCCGACTTTTAATCATAGGGCATCCATATGAAGCATTATTCTGTATACGTGACATATCTGCGGATCGCACCTCAAACCGAACGGCAAGTGGAACCAATCATACAGACACGATATCTTTTAGTAGCAGAGATAATAACGTTTGCCTTTTTTATCTTTGAAACTTAAAATTTGCTGGCCGTGTATTATGAACATACAATAGCGCTTTGTCCAGGTCCTGCAATAAGTAGTTGATTAGAGGCACGAAATGTATCATCATCCTCGTCATTTGAATAACTCTTCGGTAGTCTAGTCACAGTCGTATGTTCACCCCATATTTTTTACGATCACGGTGACGTTAAGGAAATGTAATTTTGGCTAACAGTAATTCTTTGAACAGATCCGCCAACGTTTCACGGAACTCTGGGGCGGCTAAAATTAGCTCGCACTACGATCGGGGATTCTTCTCCAACATCTATATCGCGTATTATACCTCGTGCAGCAGGTGAAAGGTCGTTTCCCTGACCCATCAAAAATGTGTAGTTTCTTTTAGATAAGCTGAAGTAACTTGTCTTGCTCCTTGGTCAATATCATCCTGGGTCGCCCACCTGTACATCGTCAATTTTCACCTCTCTTAGCATCACGTCTACTTTAAATAATTGGCACGTGTTGGCCAACATCCTCCGCGAACAACACCCTTGTTTCATGATATTATGATGAGAACTCGTGCGCTTTTTCGCTTAAAATTGGTTTTTCTTGGTTCGACTGATTGTTGGACGGTCGGTGTCGCAAACACCATACAAGTCATAACTTCTGGGTGACTGGTAGGTAAGTCTTGTACGCGATCAAATACTATCTCATTGATCGGTTCAATGGCGAGCTCTCCCTTACAAAAGTTTGTCTCTGTTTCTGACATTTGACTGTTACCGCATCTTCTTGGTGTCTTAAAATACGTCTGTGGGGGAGCCCATGTTGACTTTTCCTGGCAAATGCAATGATATTTCCTAATTCCAATTACCTCTTTTGCTTTAGCTGATCAAACACCTATTTCCAAGCCGCTTTACCGTCATTTCCGACCCAAGACCTATTAGGTGTGGTAATCGCGTTAATTATCACCGGCGCTTGTCCTTATTATGTTATTTAAGGCTATTTGCTTGCCCACGCAATCACAAATTAGCATATTACCTAACGACTATGCTTCCTCTTCTTCAACGGTCATATCCGCTATTCCTCTCCAAATTCGATTTGTACTATGCCTTGGCGTCGAATATGAAGGGTGCCCAACCTAATGATCATCATTTCATGTGAATCTTCTTCTTTTTCTTCTGCGGTTGCTGTTACGCGATTGTCTGCCACTCCTTACATCTCCGTGACCGCCCAGACATATACCTGGGTGGTTACGATATTATATAGGCCGGCGCCCATTGCCAAACTGGTGTTCCTTGTTAATTGAACACCTCTTGGTCCGTCATATCGGTCAAGCGAACTAAAGTCAACCTTTCGGGTCCAGTCGCAGCCGTAGGTACCTAGCGTGAGTGGTAGTTTACAACGCTCTCGACTGCGGTATCCAGAAAAACGTTAAATTCTACGGAGTTACCCACCATGATCGTTAAATACAAATCATCCGTGGCAATTCGTTTCATCTTCTCTCCGTACGGCGGTCTCTTAACTACCAGTTATATTCTGACTTCGTCCAGTGAATGAACTGTCACATCCGCCAGGCCAATGCGTACTCCGGCCGATACTAAAAAATCCATTCACAGTGTTGCTTCTTTTCCAACTTGGTTTTCATCCCGTATGTCAAAGTAAAAGACTAGGGATCCATTCGACGAGATCTTCACCTTGGTGAAGCCTATGGAAATGTACGAATTGTTTTTAGTATCCACATGCTCTTGCTTCTGTGTTTCATCTATATCACAGCCAGCCTTATGAGCAAAGGTGGTGCCGATAATCGGAACCTCGGTCCCCCCTTCAATCATTAGGATGGCTGCATCAATGTTTATCTCCTCCACCTTGACCTGACTAAACCACTTTATAAGGTATTATACATCTAGTATCCACGTAATTCGTTGAGAGACTACTTTAAATTTATTTCGGTGAGTGATCGTGCGCATTTGTATGCTCTTGCAGACTTGCAATTAAAGTTAAGCAATTATAATACAAATCACATGGACAAAAATTCTGGCCGGTAAGGCGATTAACACTGTTCTCAACCCTTGTATTTCAATGAATGCATGTATGCAGAGCCTAAAAATCTCGGCTCGTACCAAATATTAACCTAGAGAGCGTACTAGCTCAACATCTCTCAGCGTCAGTAAAAGCATTCCAGCGTATTGGTCGGCAAACACCACTTGCGGAGCATGATGTTGAACTTTATTTTAGGGCGTTTGCCTCCTCCTTGTATTTCTCCACACGCTGCGTACCATTAGTAACACTTGTCCAAGGAATGACCTTTGCGTCCGCCCTTTTATCTCGTGAATCGTTCCAGCATCTGCAATCATCGTGTCTCTTGAACCGCATTTATTGCATGAATTGTTTTCTCCATAACGATCTTGATTACGCTCACAATCACGTAATTTCAGTCAGTTGGACGTTCATTCGTTCGATTTGTGGTTTAATCGTCTGTTGCGGCGCTATAAGCACGCCTTTTTTGTGTCAGATCCGCTAATGTCTGATCCTAAAGTAATGCTATAGTCCCCACGTAGATTGCACGCACGAATCGGGACGATTTAGACGGTCTTAGGGTGCATGATGAAGCTGATCATGAGCGGAACTTTCTTGAGCTGGTCTGGACGTTAGATTTGAATTTCTGCATACGTTCTTACGTGTGGATAATTTTCTTTAGTATATCCACGTCTTCTAAAAGCAGCAGCGGTAATTTTTTCGCGATCTATTGATCGTCCAGTGTTTCTGTGTAGTTTCCATGTAGTCACGGTGATTAGCGATATTGCCATTTTCACACGGATTTTTTCTCGCATTCCAGCAGCATCTTTAAAAAAAGATATTTAAACGAAGTCTTATCGGCACGCTTATAGACGATATAATACTGTTGACCAGTGGAGACGCCGCTTCCAAATTATTAATAGAGAAATCTCTTGAGTAAGGCCTTACAATTGTTGCTTGTCGATGGACTGAATCGGGCGTATCAGTTTTGTGATGGATCCGTTACCAGATCATCGTAAACCAAAACTTCCTGGAGTCATGGGCTTGGTCAAGCAAGTAAATCTGACCCGAATTTGTGGAGCCATCTTCCATCGTGGTCATCACCGTGATCGCGGCCTGAAAATTCTCTGAACTCGGCGATTGCAGACTGTTGAGAATACGCCGCTTCGTGCAGTCGTTTCATGTTGGGTTCATGGTGATGATTTCTGTGTCAGGGTGTTTCATGGTGGTTATTACGGAAGAAGGTTATGGATCGCGGTTACATGATGAGATCACAGGATGTCGTTACATTAAGGCTTAGACTTAGCTAAGGGTAGTGAACTAAGGACCTTAAATACATTCACTTCGGCTTTTACATCCAACTACCCCAACAGGTTAACAGCCGCAACTCGGACGGCGGCGTCAAGACCAAGAACGCCTCGCCTCGCACGGATCGCACATGATGAGTACCAAGCGCGCCGAAGTCCTCCTAGGAAGTGGAAATTATTTCCATTGGGAGTTCAATATGAGGATGTCGCTCGCCAGAAAAGGACTGCTGGCGCACGTGGAGGTGGTCAAGGCGGAGAGTGAGATAACGGAAGCTTGGTTAGTAAATGACGCAAAGGCTCTCGGCATCATCGCGCAGGGTGTGGAACTACAACACCAGACAAAGATCCGTTCGTCGACGCGTGCTATTCAAGCGTGGGTAACACTTAGGGAGTTCTACAATCGCACTACACTCCACAATCGGGTCACGATGATACGGCGCCTCCACGAATTCAAGATGGATGCTGGAACGGCCATGGCAAAGCATTTGGACGCTTTCGACGAGCTCGTTGTCGGTCTTCAGACGCTTGGAGAGCCCGTCGACGAGGCACGGCAGCTAGTAGTGCTGCTGAGCAGCCTTCCAGCCGAATACGAGCTGATATCGTCGATCATCGAGAACGTCAAGGACATCACGCTCTTCGAGGTGAAAGAGAAGCTGTTGAAGGAGTGTGAACGGTTGGAGAAGAAAGAAACGACTTCGGAACGAGCATTTAAGGTCAACGCTGGACGTTTCAAGGGCAACAAGAGGAGTGGTCGCAAGTGGAGCGATCAGAAGAAGAACTCTAGTGGTTTCCAAGGCAAGTGTTTCAAGTGCAACAAAGTTGGGCACATGAAGCGGGACTGTCACGAGGGAACAACAGACGGCGATGCGGTATTTGTTGTGAGCACAGAACGTGTAAACGGATGGTTGATCGACAGCGGCGCGACCGCCCACATGACCCCGCACCGTTCCGATCTGTTCGAGTATGAGAACGTGAATGGTGGCATCGAAGTAACAATCGCTGACGGAAAGAAGCTGCAGGTCACTGGACGTGGTACACTACGCTTGCTTGGACTGGACGGTAAACGGATTAAGATGGTTGAAGTTCTTCACATACCGGGCCTCGATCGGCGCCTGTTGTCAGTGGGGAAGCTCGCGGATCGTGGACTGAACGTGGAGTTTCAGCGTTCCTCATGTGTTATATGGGGAGCGGCTAGCGCAATTGCGAAGGGTAAGAAGGTCGGCAAGGCTTACATGTTAGACTGTGAACAAGAAGAAGCTCGGTTCGTCCAGTACGCCGGGGCTGACAGCAAGTGGGAGCTTTGGCACGCTCGCCTGGGGCATCCCAATCAGGATGCTCTGGATAAGACAAAGCATGCCACGAACGGTATTCCGGCTGTTGGTCAACCGCCCCAGTCTTTGTGCGGCGGATGCATGAAGGGGAAGCAAACGGTGGCTAAATTTCCGCATTGTTCCAGCTCGAAGACGTCGCGCGTTCTTGAGCTCGTCCACACGGATATGATGGGACCAATGAATAATCCTTCGAAAGGTGGTGCCAAGTATGTCCTGACGTTCGTGGACGACTACTCGCGCTACGTTGTGGCCTATTTCTTGAAAAAGAAGAGCGAGGTGGCCATAAAGCTTAGAGAGTTCATGACTTTCTATGAGAATCAATGGGGAGAGCGCATGAAGTGTTTACGATCGGATAACGGAACGGAGTTTGTCAACCAAGAGATGACGAAGATATGTATGCTGAACGGTATCGTGCACCAACGGACTGTCCCGTATAGCCCTCAGCAGAATGGAGTGGCAGAACGGATGAACCGAACTATCATGGAGAGATCTCGAAGTATGCTATACTACAAGGGCGTTCCAATGGAGTGGTGGGCTGAAGCATTTAGTACTGCGGTATATCTAATCAACCGTTCCACGAACACGCACAACGCAACCGTAACACCGTTTGAGCTAGGTTTCAAAGTGAAACCTACGCTAGATCACCTACGCGTATTTGGTTCTCGCGGGTACGCTCACATTGACGAAGCGAAGAGGACGAAGCTTGAACCTAAGAGCTTTAGATGTCTGCTGCTCGGATACCCAGAAAACGTCAAGGGTTACCGTGTCTATGACTTGGACGCTTCCAAGGTCAAAGTTTCTCGCTCGGTGAAATTGGACGAGCGTGAGGTAGATGGTATTTACGATACACTACCTGCTCAGATCGAAACAGGTATTCATGTTAGCACAGACGCCGATGATGAAGTCACGCTCGCACCAGTGGAAGTTTAACCCGTCGAAGCGGAACCCATGGAAGGCGTTGAGAACGACGCACCGGATGTAGAGATGGAGAGCATGCAACCGATACAGGACGCTATACCGCCGCTGCTGATGCCACAAGAACGGTCAGCTCCCACTGGATTTGAGTTGGAACCGTACCGTGGACCACCGACTATCTTCGAGGACGATCAAGTGGTGTTCCATACCCCTAGAGACCGTTTTAGAAGTTCCCGGGAACCAGTCTTCCTTCTTGAAGAGGGAACGGACGCAGAGGAAGAACGGAAGTCGGAAGGAAGAGATGGACCGTCCTATCCGAAGCGTGCCAGGATCGATGAAGACGGCCTTATTGCTGAAGCCGTCCTCGCGTACGCAGCAAGCATTGACACAGTGGATCTTCCTACAACATACGCTCAGGCAATTGCCAGTGAAGATTCAACACAGTGGCGTGAAGCCATGGATGCTGAACTGCTCTCTCATAAACGGAACAATACCTGGACATTAGTTCCACGAGGAACGGCCATCCGTACCATTGGGTGCAGATGGGTGTTCGCCAAGAAGCGTGACCAGAACGGTCGCGTGGTGCGCTTCAAATCGCGGTTGGTGGCGAAGGGTTTCAAGCAGAAGTACGGAGTGGATTTTTTTGAAACGCACTCTCCTGTGGCGAACATGAACTCGATTCGAGTTGTGCTCTCCGTCTGCGCTGCTTTCGCGTACCAGATGGAAGAGTTGGACGCTGACACAGCGTTCCTCAACAGTGAGTTGGAGGACCGTGTCTACATGGAGGTACCAATTGGCGTTGAGAACGCTCAGAACTATGTGTGCCAGCTGAACAAGGCCATCTATGGACTGAAGCAAGCTGTAAGTGCCTGGAACAAGACCATTCATCGGGTATTTCTTGGGTACGGATTCAAGAGCTGTGGTGCGGACCAGTGCGTCTATGTCAAGCGTTCCAAGAGCAATTTCATTTACGTCTGTCTTTACGTAGATGATATGATCATTGCGGCGAAGACTAGTGATGAAATCGATGACGTGAAAACGCACTCAAGAGTGTCTTTAAGATGAAGGAGCTTGGACCGGCGAAATTTATCCTGGGAATGGAGATCGACCATAACATGACTGCTGGAACGCTTATGATTAAGCAAACGCGATACATCGATGATGTGGCGAAACGGTTCGGGCAAGAGAACGCTAAGTCGGTTGACAACCCGTGTGCAACTGGTCTTAAGTTGTCAAAGTCGCAATCGCCAGCAACGGATGAAGAGCGAAGAAAGATGCAATCGAGACCGTACCGCTCCTTAATTGGATGCCTACTGTATATCACGACTTGTACTCGCCCGGACATTTCATTCGTGGTAACGCAACTTTCTCGTTTCCTGGAGAATCCCGGGGCGCAGCATTGGAACGCTGCTATACGTTTTCTACGCTACTTGAAGACGACTTGCCAGCACTGGATCATCTACAAAGGTGGTACTGGCAGCGTCACAGCTGAAGCCTACTCGGATGCGGACTGGGGTTCCAACCTCGACGACAGGCGTTCTGTATCGGGGGTTATGATCATGATTGGGAACGCTCCGGTGGTGTTTAAATCTAAGTTCCAACGAACGGTTGCCCTCAGCTCAGCGGAAGCTGAGTATATGGCTTTAAGCCTATGCGTTTAGGAAGTGCTATGGACGCGTGCGATACTGACGGACATGGGAATGGTACAAATGAACGCTACCCAGATATGGGAGGACAATCAAGGAGCGATTGCTTTGGCCCAAAACGCTGATTATCATGCTCGGACCAAGTATGTGGACATCCGTCATCACTTTATCAGAGAGACGATCGAAGACGGGACGGTTGCGGTAGCGTATGTGGACACCAAACATCAATTGGCCGACATACTGACCAAGGCGCTAGGATCCAAGACGTTCAAGTTCCTGCGCGATGCAAACAGTATCCAGTGCAAAGAAACCAAGCAGTAGCGGCGAGTGGGAGTGTTGAGAATACGCCGCTTCGTGCAGTCGTTTCATGTTGGGTTCATGGTGATGATTTCTGTGTCAGGGTGTTTCATGGTGGTTATTACGGAAGAAGGTTATGGATCGCGGTTACATGATGAGATCACAGGATGTCGTTACATTAAGGCTTAGACTTAGCTAAGGGTAGTGAACTAAGGACCTTAAATATATTCACTTCGGCTTTTACATCCAACTACCCCAACACAGACATTTAAATTCGTTGCGCGGCAATACCCCATCGGATCATGGTCTCAGTAGTAGCCAACTGAGGCCGTCGTATATCGTCTACATGGAGATCGTCAGGGTCGAAGCATTGCCGCGGCTTTCGTGTGAGTCAGCTTATTCTAATCAGTGTTCGGTATGCACGCCCCGAACACATTGTGGCTTGGGGTAAAATGACCGGTTGGCGCCGTACGGAGTGGTCGACAGTGTGGTCCTGTAAATAATTTACGGTAGCTATTTCGAATTAGATTTGCATCTAATCGGATCATTACACGGGTTTGCATTTTGGTCAAAAATCTTCGCTATGGTGTTCGAAAGGGTAATCTCGTGGTGGGCACGCAAAAGCGCTAATACAGAGATTTCCAACTACATTCGTTTAATCTCCATGTAATCGCTTTCTTCTGCATCCGACTCTGCAGAGGCACAGTGCGACGACAAAAAAATGTTCTTTTTCTTTGACATTGACGGTGGTCGTGCTATTGCGATTGACCGAGTCTTAATTAACAGCAAATGGGACCATCGATTTGGACAGTGATCGACTGGACATGGTCGTCTGGTCTAGGTTGCAGATGGCCAAAGATGCGCATCGAGTGAACCTTGCAAAAATTCTGCGCCTTGTAGCGAATGGATGAGACGTTAAGTCTCTTCCATCTTGCTAATATCAACTCTTAATTTGTTGCAGGACTTTCGATCGTTCCGATCAGTTCTGGCTCTAAACTTGTAATCATCGGATCTGTAGTTAGCAAGATTTTAAAGTTGGGTCCAGTGCAAACACTGCAGTAATTGATCAATCGTTTAGCCTTCCATCTAGACCTCTTCTGCCCCACTCGTTTCGTGACGGACGCCTTAAGATTAAGGCGCTCGTAATTTTAGAACTGCAGCCTTCGATCATTATTCTTAGTTCACATATTCTTATTTATACGAAAATTGTCCTGCTTTGACTGGACGCATTCCGTCTAACGATTCCGTACTTTGCAATACAATCCGCGGTATTATTTAAAGGGAACTCAGGAGCAAAAGAGACTTTTCTTCGTGATCACCTTAGTGTGATATTCCTTTTTAATTTTTAGCCCACCCTGGCTCCTCAACAAAATTTAATGGAATAAGAATTTTAGATGATCAGGTTTATGCTTAAAAACCCTACTTTACCGACACGGTCATCGTCTGTTCCAACTTGACATCTTTGCACTGGTATTCACCGTAGAAATCCCGAGTCATCAGAAGATCCCGGCACGCGCACCATTATGGTGGAGTTGAATAGTTCATTGTATGGAGCGATCCTAGCTCTACACTGGTGCCCGGACGGCCGACAAACGGATAGTTACTTCGGACCTTGTGTCTTTTCCTGTTGCTTTTTAGCTTTGGATCCGTGGACGGGCAGGTCGCGCTCTTCAGGGTGACTTGAGGTCGATGTCGGTCTTGACCGAGTTGGGGAAAGGTCGAGTATGGTCACGTGTAGATTCTTCACTCGGACAATGATTCTTGTGGCGCTCTATCAGAGTCGCCCTGACGTCCCTTGAGGTCGCTTGCCCAAATGTGGATTTTATACTACCTTTTTTTTAATCGATTAAGCCGTTTGAAGATCGTGCCTTCGTATGCTTGCGGCGTCCGATCGCTGGCGAACTTGAATGAGAATCCTTTTTTTGGCTAATCAATACCCGAACAAATTTTAAATAAATACGTGACCAGTAATTTTTTTAATTCGATCGGACACTTGTATTCTAGTTCGGAGCGATGCTGACGCGTAAATTTTGTAGAAAAAAATACTGTTCGTTACTGACCATTTAGAAGCTCGAACTACGTTTATTCACATCTGTATCCCGGATTCTATCATTTCGTTCGCCTCCCGCTATTCAACTCTCTATGCTTGAAGTGACCCACCTTAACTAGCAGAATGAAAGCCGGTCGCCCACAGTGACAATGACCACTGGTCAATAACAGCGACAGTTACCGCTGATCGTCCACAGTGACCGTTACCGCGGACCACATATAGTTGCCGTGACCGCTGGTCGCCGTCTTTGAACGCGACTTATGACTGGTCCACTTTCCACCGTACTATAGAGATCTACGCGGTCGGTCCTAAGGCCGTCGTGACAGGTCCCACATGAACCCAAGATTTAAAAATGCGATTGTACAGAATTTCATCCGACCACTTCACCACATTGCAGTATCAACTTTTTGTGCAGAATGCTATTTAGAGACTTTGTTTACATCGGGTAAAAAAGCCTGCATTTAAATTGAGCAAGTCGCCCTCATGGCGCTTGCCTCGGAACCAGCATTTTGCATCCATCGACAGCTGCCGTATTTGATGAACGGACGCAAGCTCATTATGATGTAGCAAGTACACATGTACCATCATGATGGATGCTGATTAAGTAAGCGCGGTAAGGGTTACGCGGGCAAGAAAATTGTCGTAAAGGCTCGTCGATGTGATTCTTATAAGAAAGGGTTAAATTTTGAGAGAAGGATCTCTAGCATGGGTTATTCATTATCTTCACCGACCGGCCGGCACATGGCTTCCTTCTTCTTTTATCTCTGGAACCCGTAAAGAAACGCTATTTTACTTTCGAGTATCCGTCTTGTGTCAACGGCGAACTCTACATACTCGGACGGACCATTTGACATTGGAAGTGCCAATGTACCCACGTGATGCCAAACATACCGTGTTGTTTCCCCGGAAGGAAAATCGGTATCCCTTCATATTCAGGCAGAGACACCGCCGTAAAAAAACACGACCTTTCTTAGTGTCGGTTGCACAGTGAGACCGGAAGTGTCCAACACGCCCTCGCGATTGTGGCGGCTTTTGGTCGACATTCAGATCACTGTACAACCGTTGAATAGTTAATTCACCTTTTTTAATACGGTGGTGTAACGGGGTGAATCGCTACATAACAATTTATAAGAAATTGTTAATAGAATATAACTATAAGAGTTATATTCTCAGAATATTGTCATAAGGACAAATATTCTGTAGCACTTACGAGTAGTTCCTAATTGGTTGATATAGGCCACTATATCAACCAACGAAGACGCGCCACGGCAGACGCACGCAATGAGTGGTGAGCAGATAACTAACTTACACATTTGTATTTAGACATAGTTAGATGAAGATAAACAGTGGTTTATTAACAGACATTAACTATTATAAATGCAGTTCTACTTTTTACTTTAACCAAGTACTCGCTTCTTCTTACCGTCTTCCTCTGCACGTACCAGTGTACGTGAAGTTACGAGGCACCGCCTTATTCTGTCATCAGAATAAGTAGCTTGTACTGTCACCAGTACAGGCTTCAGGGTGCCCCGTTACACCTGGTAGCACTTCGTAGTCCGTCCAAGGACCGCGTTCACATCCAACATGAATATGTTGGATGATGAAGATGACCAAAGCTTTCACGCTACGCGTGACGGCTACTCCCATTTGAGCGATGTCGAATGGGATGCGGTTGAACGAATGGGTTCGACCATGGGCATCCATGCTGTTAGCGTCATGCTAGAGGCTCTCAATAGAGATGGCCAACATGCTACTATCGCCAAGTTCATTCAAAATGAACTTGACGCAGAACGCGAGAAAGTAGCCTTGCTTCACCAACAAGGTTATCAACAAGCAGAGTTGTTGAGAGAACAGGGTGCTCAACAGTTTGAACTGTTGAGACAGCAGCAGGCTGCTGCTGGTGGGTCGATGCATTCGCGTCGACCCGAGACCTTGAAGATTGACATCTCCAAGTATAGGGGAGTCGAAGAGGACTCCCTCTTGAGATGGTTCGTCGAATTGGATGACGCCATAAGGGCGCGTCGCATCGACGACGGGGATATGCAAGCTGCATTTGCCCAGTCAAATCTGGCAGGACGTGCCAAGACTTGGGCACTGGGGCTCAAGTTGCACGACCCACATGCGTTTGGGTCGTTGGAAGTCTTCAAGTCGCGGCTCAGACAAACGTTTGAGCCGCCTAGAGCTGAGTTCAGGGCTCGAACCGAACGCTTGAAGCTCAAACAGGGTAAGCGTGATGTGCACGCTTACGCTCAACATATACGACATCTCACGTGTTGTATAAGTTTCAATCCGGTGGATGAACACACGTTGGTTTCGGTGTTCATGCAGGGTCTTGCGGATGGTCCCGTCAAGACTCACCTGTTCCGGCTTGAACTAGATTCACTAGAACAAGCAGTTTCGATTGCGGAGCAGGAAGACTTCAGTCTGAGACAGGCTCGCGCCAGCTCGACATCATATCGTCAACCGAGACGATATGACAACGGAGGTCCAGAGCCGATGGAACTCTGTTATGTATAGAGCGAGAAGGCTCGCTCTACAGACTACAAGAAGTTGCAGAAATGCAACAGATGTCAGAAGACAGGACACTACGCTTACGAGTGTAGTGCCCCTCGTCCAGTGTCTCGCAACACTGGGCGTAGTGACCGTCCACCCATGAGAAAGGGGCAGGGACGCGGGTCCGCTGTTGGTGCAAGGACGCAACAACGGGAAGGACCGTCAAAAAACGGACAGGAGCAGTAGGTGCGGAGCACCCTAACGGTCCAGCAACGTCAAGAGAATTTGAAGGCCTCTTGATGAAGGCTGCTCCCAACAAACAAATATTGTGCGTTGCTGCTCTAGGTAATGAGATATCACTCATTACCTTGAAACTCGAAGTGACGAACAAGTTGTACCTTCGAGCTCTAGTCGATTGTGGGGTGTCTAACAATCTTGTGCAACGCCAATAGCTAGAAGATGGTCATTTTAAGTTCAGTGAATGTGACACACCTCCTACGAGCATGACGGTACGTCTTGCGACAGGCGCATCCGTAACCGTCACAAGGCGTAAAGTGAAGATCCACTATACGCTAGAAGATACCTAATATGACGATGACTTCATCGTATTGGATTTAGATGACAAATTTGATGTCATCCTTGGAATACCGTGGCTCAGAAGGTACGAACCACGGGTAAACTGGCAACATCGGACAGTAACGATGCCTGCCGCTTGTTCATCAGATGGCCATCTGATGAACGTTTTGGAGCGTCCACAAGCGTGTGGATGTACTACGAGTGAGTGCTATTGCCTCACTTGTGGTACGGTCGTTAGTACGACTGCACAAAACCTTATTGTAACAAACGGTTACACTTCAGAGCAAAGTTCCGGCGGCTGTGAGGAAACACAGGCTGCTCCGAAGGTCCACCACTCGAATAAGTCGAGTGGACCGGGACAAAGATGTATCCCTAGCGGGAACATCTTGAAGAGAAACAATTGATCGCTCAGGTTAAGCGAAACTATAATCCTAGATCGACTGGAGAGTCTTTCGTAGAGGATCTCGCTGTGGTTGCGCAACCCCAGCTAGAGGAAGTTAAGGGAATAAGTCCCAAGATTACAAATAAGTTCCCCGAAACCCGCGGGAATAAGTCCCCGGGAAGCCGAAGGAATAAGTCCTTCGAAGCCTGAGGGAATAAGTCCCCAGGAAATGACAGAGACATTGAATGTCAGTCAAAAAACCGGATCAAGTGTAGGCGCTTATACACTTGATCTGATTGCGCCTCCGAAGTTGACTTCGGAGATCACTCAGTTGCCAACGCTCGAACATAAGGTTCTTGCGTGATCTGCGTAGTGACAAAGTCAAGCAGATCTGCGTACTTGTTGCTGACGACGAGTGTGTAGCCGACATAAGGTCAGCAACAGTGTTCACTGAGAACGAGAGAGTTCTCAGTAGTTCATCTATGGACGAGAGTGTCCTCGATGAAAAGAATTGAGCGATATGATTCCCAATCGTGGGAATCGATCAAGACAAATCCTCTCTATGGAGATTTGGTTGAATTTGAGGATGTATACCCTGAAACTGTTCCTTGCGAATTACCGAAGGATAAAGGTATTCGACACGAGGTCGAGCTTAAACCAGGCTCGAAGTACTGTGTCATGAAGCAGTGGAAACTGCCTCGTGAACAAGTACTTGCGATCGACAAGTTCTTTGCCGATCGTTTAGCTGCGGGCCATGTGAGGGAATCAACTTCCCCACATAGCTCTCCGACCTTCTGTGTGCGAAAAGCAACAGGAGGGTGGCGGATAGTGCATGCATTTAACAAGTTGAATGCTGCAACGGTACCGGCTCAGACGCCGATACCGAGGAAGGCTGGCATCATTGATGGCACGTCAAAGAGTACCATCTTTTCGTCCATGGATTTGACGGATGGCTTCTATTAATCCTTATGCGAGAACGGGATATACCCTATACCGCAGTTAGCACGCCTAGCGGCATGCTCTGGGAATGGCTAGTAATACCACAAGGGCTTAGTAATGCCCCTGCCACGTTCAACAGATGTGTATCACATCTGTTGAGACCAGTACGAGAATTCGCGCCGAGTTATTTCGATGACGTATTCATCCATAGTCGGGCTATGGATGGAAAGTCGGATGTTGAGGTTCACAGGTACCACGTCCAACAGGTTCTTACAATCATGCGAAAGCATCAATTGTATGCAAACCTCAAGAAGTGTACATTTGCAGCAAGCGAAATACCACTTCTTGGGTGTACTGTTGGTAAGAACGGTGTACGTCCTGATCCCGAAAAGATCAAGGCGATCACCGACTGGCCTGTGCCGGTTGATGTCAAAGGTCTTCGAAAATTCCTTGGGCTAGCGGCGTATTTGCACAAGTATTCACGCAATTACGCCGAGATGACTGTGCACCTCTCTCGTTTGCTGAAAAAGAACGAGAGGTGGTTATGGAACGCTGAATGTCAGCGCTCCTTTGAGGGTATCAAGCAGAGCTTGATACAATCCCCAGTCCTAGCGATAGCCGATCAGGACAGACCATTTCATGTGGTCTGAGAAGCCAGCGATTTTGCAATCGGCTGTGCATTAATGCCGTACGATTTTGAAGGCGTTGAACGCGTCGTCTGCTATCAGTCGCGCCAGCTGCAACCAGCTGAGCGGAACTATCCAGTGCATGATAAGGAACGCCTTGCCATGAAGTATGCACTCGCGAAGTTCAGAGTCTATCTATTAGGAGATAGACCCTTCATTGTTTACACTGACCATGCGTCATTACGCACGGCAGTGAACAGCCCGCACCTTTCACAACGAATGGCGCGGTGGTTGTCATTCTTTGCGGAATACAACTTTACGGTAGAGTACAAACCAGGACGACTTAATGTCATCGCTGATGCACTCTCACGTCGTCCCGACTTCGAAACAGTCGCGAAACCCAACAGTGAGACAGTCACTGTTGCGGTTATGACGTCCTCAGTCCCATCTACAACGTTGTATGATGATGTGAGGCGGGCATACGCCCAAGATGGTGAGATAGTGAAGTTGTTGACACATCTCTCCCAACCATCTCGAGATTCGTTGGAACGATTGTCGTCTGCGTATCGATCTGCATCAGATCGACACACTACTCGTAACGGTTTACTGTATTATACAGCCGTTTCTGGTGACACACCACGTGTTGTCATTCCAGATGATACTGATCTGCGTTTGCGGATCATGTTCGAGTATCGCGATGCTCCTATAGGAGGACATCGTGGCCGAGAGAAAACATATCTCACGGTGAGTCGAGACTTTTACTGGCCCCGCCAGTATCAGTGTGTGCGAAAGTATGTTCGCGCATGCGAAGTCTGTCAACGAGTGAAGTCAAGTCCTTCACTGCGTGCACCTTTAAAGCCTCTACGAGTTCCAGTAGAGTGCTGGGAATCCATCTCAATGGATTTCGTCTTCGGGTTACCCAAAGACGCACGCGGGAATACGGGTATTCTCGTATTTGTTGACAGATTCAGCAAAATGGTACACCTTGTAGCTGTACCAGAGTCAATCACGGCAAGTGGCTGTGCTTGTGGCTTTATTAACACCATCTTTCGACTTCATGGGTTGCCCCGTGAACTCGTATCAGACAGAGATCCACGATTCACTGCTGATTTCTGGCGTTCCGTGTTCAAATCACTCGGAACGCGCTTGAAGATGTCGACATCTGATCATCCAGAGTCAGGTGGTCAGACGGAACGAGCCAATCGTGTCCTTGAAGAGATACTTTGAGGATACACACTCTCCTTTAAGAGTTGGAGTGAGTTTTTGCCAATGGTAGAGTTTGCCATTAACAACTCGGTGCATGCGTCCACGACACATACACCGTTTTACGTGAATGGCTTGCGCCATCCGCGTGTACCCACCTTACTAGAGTGTAACTCTGGTTTAAGGGGGGGGGGGACTCGCGCGAGCAAAAACCGATTTGGTTCACGCTCATCACGCTCTGACGAAGAGGTCATTGCGTTTAATACCGATATCGATAACATCGATATCGAAGAAGATGATCCCAGTGAGAGTGCGGAAGCCCGCACTGAAGAAAAGGTTGATGTTGCTGCAGTGCACTCACAGCGCACTGAAGCTAACGAGTCACCAGATGAGTTCATACTGGCTCGTGAAACGGTAGTCCGTTTTGTGCAAGACTCCATCGCCGAAGCGGTGGATAAGCAAAAGCAAAACGCTGATAAGATTGGAAGGGCAAACACTCTTTTATTTAATAAAGGTGACTTAGTCCTACTGTCTACGGTTAATCTACCAAAGCATGTAGTGACTAACTTGGGTATCAGTAAACTACTACCCAAGTACATCGGCCCATTTCGTGTATTGCACCGCCTAGGCAATGCATACACGATCGAGTTACCACGTAAGATGCGAACGCATCCCACGTTTTACGTTGGTCGGCTTAAACCGTACCCTCAGTACGCTGCTTCTTCCGATGAAGAACGCCAATTGCGCTCAAGCATCTCGCAGAGAGCCTTGTGCTCCCGATGGTGGGCATCAACAAGGGTCTGAAGAGCAGCTATCTCATCCCAAGACCGATCGACAATCCCACGAGCTACCCTTAGCTCGTCACGGAGAGATGTCAGAGATCTCTCGTTCTCAAGCTGAGCAAAGGCAAACTCAGCTCGATGCTTCGAGGCAGTGTCCGCCATTTGGAGACGCCTGTCCCGCTCGTGTTCGAGATCGCCGCGTAACCCTTGCGTTACGCGATCAAAGAAGCTCTCGGGAACATACGCATCCCCACGATTGTGTGGAGAGCGTCTTTCCTCCTCCAGGAATCTCGCGGTGGCCAGCACTATCTAGTTGAGCAGCTGTCGAACCACCGTGACGTGAACGGACGTCGGACGAGTTATCTCGTCCGGTGGCGCGGCTATCCCCCGTCCTGGGATACTTGGGAGCCCCGCTCCCAACTGATGGTTGACGTACTGGGTCTGGTTGAGCAGTACGACGCGGCACATCCTGTGCCGCAGAAGGACCGCCGGAGAAAGTCTTCCCGGCACGGTCGTAAAGGGATTTCAGGTTGTCAATCCCTTCGTACATCTCACTAGAGATACGTACACGCCACCACGGGCTATTAGGGAGGTAAGTCTCCTTAGGTGCTCGTGCAGAGTTGTTCACACAACATGGTCACGAGTCTCCCCAAGAGAGGCAGGGTAATCCTTTCTCCCTTGACAGACGATGCAGATTGTAGCGTGCACCTGTCGGGGTTCGCTTTTCGAACTTATCACGAGCTTTGATAAGTTTGTCGTTCCAAGCGTCACGACCTACATCCTCAAGGTTATGGATGTAGGCGTTCCACGCTTGAAGCAGTGAGGGACCATCACGCTACTGATTCCCAGTGTACCATCGATGTTTGAAGAAAGCATCGATGAAGAAATCATGTCTCAGCGCGATAGTTTTTCGCACTGGGGTCAAGGTGATGGATCCTTGATGAATCGAACAACCGTGTTCGATAACGATCACTCGTCGTCGTCGACAAGTGATCCATGACGGATTTGGGAGGCATCCATGCCTTCTTCTCGGGAGCGAGACGCAACACACTGCGGTCCCGCTCTTCCTGTGACGTGCTGACAGAAGAACTGGCACCTCATTGCGGAGTGGTGTCCATAGGAGAACCGACACCACTGTTAGCGCCCGAGTCTCGCGACCTCGAGCGCCTTCGCTTCGGCGATGGTTCATCTGATTCATCAGATGAACCAAAGATGCTGCGACGCAAAGCATCGTCCATGCCACGCTTGACAGGCGGCTTGGATTCAATCGCCGTCGATACGGATCCGTCTTCCGTATCAGGAGAGTATGAGACACCGAGCTCATACTCTGTGAAGACATGAGTGTCTTCATGACCAGCGCCTGCATCACCAAGTGACACAGGCTGGGTCGCTCCAGCAACCGATGAGACATCAGTTGCTGTGGTTTCTGCTTCGGCGTCCGCACAGAGACGTGCAGACGCGCTCTCGGCGGCCTTGCTCGCGCATCGCATGGGCTTGTTTACCATGCGATGAGATGTTGGAAAGTGGACGCGGACCAACAAGTGCAAACCCTGTCCCAAATGATTTGGGACGAGTATCCATTTAGTCAATCAGTCACTAAAGTGACTGATGGTTAAGGGGGAAGTGATGTAACGGGGTGAATTGTTACATAACAATTTATAAGAAATTGTTAATAGAATATAACTATAAGAGTTATATTCTCAGAATATTGTCATAAGGACAAATATTCTGCAGCACTTACGAGTCGTTCCTAATTGGTTGTTATAGGCCATTATATCAACCAACGAAGACGCGCCACGACAGACGCACGCAATGAGTGGTGAGCAGATAGTTGATTTACACATTTGTATTTAGACATAGTTAGATGAGGATAAACAGTGGTTTATTAACAGACATTAACTATTATAAATACAGTTCTACTTTTTACTTTAACCAAGTACTCGCTTCTTCTTACCGTCTTCCTCTGCACGTACGAGTGTACGTGAAGTTACGAGGCACCGCCTTATTCTGTCATCAGAATAAGTAGCTTGTACTGTCACCAGTACAGGCTTCAGGGTGCCCCGTTACAGGTGGTGTCTTTGCCTGAAAACAAAGGGATGCCGGTGATGCCTCTCGAAGAAACAACATGGTATCTTGGGCGGCACCTTAAAGACTGAAGTGCAGCACCTAAAGACTGAAGCGCGGCACCTAAAGACTGAAGCGCGGCACCATGAAATTTTTTTCACCTTATTGACTCAATAACACCACGCTGTCATGACCATGGACGAAGAAACCTCTGGACTTCGCGCCCGGGTGGATAACTGGAAGACGAGGACCAGCTACTCACCGATGATAAAAAGCAGCTCGTGATGAACGTATTCGCTGCTCAAGACGCTGCTTAAGTGCACACCGATACACGCAGTCGCGACTATGCAAGATTCGGTCACATGATGATCTATTTTGACCGCATGGTGGTCGGTTTTAGCAATCTTGCCAGTGACATTATTGCTGAAGTGTCTTTGACGCAAGCCTTGTTGATTCGACATCGCTCGAAAAAGTCGACCAAAGCGCCGACGATTTAGCTGGAGCACAAGTACATTCTCATAGACTTCACTGACTGTGATTGTGATATTTGCACTGTCTCCAAAGGTCAATATTTGTTCTTCGAAGATAGACGACGGCGACTTAAAGCGTGTGGAGAAGACAACTTCAATTTAATGCTTTAGAAAACCGCATTGACTTTCGTCGCAGCGCTAAAAAAATTTGGCATCGCAGAACTAACACGCAATTTGTCGTCCGAGGAGCTCCGATTGATAAGCGTGTTCCTCTTCTTTCCCGCAGAATGGAACGATCGGTCTTCTTCGCGCGTGTGTGACACTGGGTCGACGGCACCAGCAGCAAGCACGAAATGTTTAAGAGAATTAGCGGGGTAGGAATCCAGAACATTTTAGCGTTTGTAAAGCGCTTGGATCCGCTAAACGCAGCTATAAAATCACGAGCGTGCCCAAAAAATAGCTCGCAAAATTTAAACAAAGTAGACGACGTGGAGCCATGAACACAAAAAGTAGAGGACTGTTAAACATTTCCTTAATTACCTTCTTCCTACTTTCCCTATCTCTCTGCATAACGTCGATCTTCCGCGCCACGACCCGGCTCACCTTCTACGCCGGGTTGGGCTTTCTCCCTTCTGATTAGCTTTTAATACCACAGCTCGCCATGATCGAAAGCATACCCTCCATTTGTAAGAAGCAAAAATATAACGTTGTGTTTTTAAAAAAATTAAGCATTTTGTTTTTGACACAAATTAATTAGTTTTAATGATGAATAAAACATAATTGGACTCTAAAATCATTCAAACAATTGGTTGATAAATTAATGATTCCACAAGCTCATAGATTTTTAGGGTCGGGGTTCCTAATTTATAGTGTCGTCGGTGCTGAATAGGTGTAAAATACAAGTGTATTTGAACAATTTTAATGTGAGAAATTCTTTGCTGCAGCAAGATTTAATGAGAATTGATATTTTAAATTTTACTTTAGCTGTGGCAATTCCTTTATTCTGCCTTTTAAAGCCTCTTTTACTATTTTCACTTAATTTTTGTTCTTAACTCTTTAACAAAATCAAAAAACTTTAAGCGAACGAGCAAAAGACTTTACAAATACCTTCCTTTTTTAGAAAAATTTAAATTAGCCAGGTGTTTTATAATTTCTACATGTTTCAGACACAAAAAACAATTATTTATGTCACAATTATTATCTTTTAGTTAAAGTGCTGGAAATGTGATAAACGTCACTTACAATTTTTTAAATATGTGTGGTGTAAAACAAATTCTCCGTGAGCATCTTGGCAAAAAAAATGAATTTGTTTATCATCAATTAAACTCACAGTTAAAATAATCTAAACTGTGGAAATTCTTCTTAAATTGCATAAACTAAAATTTAAGAATTATTTTTTTTAAAAATTACGTGCTCGATTACTATTCGTTTAAACACGGCATAAATATAAAATCCACGGCCGCCAGTGCCACCACCATATGGCCACGAACGAGAAAGCGCTTACCCCAGCGTGAATAGTCGCATCATAAAAAGCAAGACGCCATCTCCAACGCCACAACCACGAAACACAAAGCGCCAACTCAAGCGTAGAAGCGCAAAGGTTCCAGTGCCACCAACGCCACAGCAGCTAGTACCGTTGCAGCGATAGAAAAGGTTCCACAAACGAAGAAACAGAAGCTAGTCATTAAGCACCGTGCCGAGCCCCACGAGGCGTTTGACAGCTTGGTATCGGATGACAAGTTTTCGTCATCCCACTCTAGCTTGCCAGTACAGATACCCTCCCTTCTCACTAGGCGCGGACTTCTCTCGACACGCCTGAGTAGCGCTGCAATGGCAAATGACCGAGCGGAAGTTGATAATGCTATTCGAACTCTCGTTTTGCTTCAACTTGAAGATGATCCCTACGGGGATCTCCTCGGGTCGGCGACGTCGAACCTTTATCCCAGCCATTATGAAAACCATCATAAGAAGGTTTTCGAGCATAAATCGCTAGGATGGGGTACACTTACACCAATTTAAGAGCAATAGTGATATTTTTGCCGGAACACGCAAAAGACGACGTGTGTCTTTTTGCAATGAAGTAGCTTTCAGTAGTAGAGACGTCACCCTCCGCACCCTCTAGCGTGATTTCGAGATAAAACTGAATAAGCCGTTTTCAAACCTATTCACGACCACATTTACGCTGAATGATGACGCTGACGTACGGCTACAGCCGCCATCTCAGCGTGGTCGTTAATCACCACTCTACGATAGTTATGTCGAATCGTGAGCAGCGGCAAACATCGCCGTTAATGATTGAAGGTGGTCGATATTTTTTTGACTCCCGCCGGTATTAAGTCGTGGCAGAAAATGTGGCACTACCTTGGGACGGCGTAGCCAAAGGCAGCTCCCACAGGCTTCCTGACGATTTGATCCAGTATTTTGCAGTAGGCTAAGATGAATCAAATGGGACCACGATGTCTCCTCTTTATGAAGCGCCGCTTTACATACAAAAACAATAATTTGCCGGTTTTGAACAATTTAAACCTCGTGAAGTGGTCTGTGATCCGGCGCCAGGAGTGTACATACGGTCGTCTCGTTGCGTATCGAGTACGGACGTCGGATCTTGTCACACAGCGATTGTTTGAACATTTTCAAGAGACTGGATTTGAGCCAAATCGTTCGGTACACCCTTCAGCCTCTGATCTATATTCGGATGTCTGGAAGAGGATGCAGGACAGCAGATACGGTAGGAGATTTTCCTCCGCCGATGTGATGTAATCTACAAGGGAGAGTTAGCGCGACTTATCCTCTGTGTGTTACTTGTTAATGCTGAGATAAAATCCGTCCCAAGAACAGACGCTAGAAAGACACTGGCATTGTATACCAAATGCGCCGTCATTTCGCGGGCACGAAATTTCTAAAGGACCATAGCTGTACTTTACTGAGATGGTTAGCCGGGACGACTGGACGATACTAAACACGTTTTGACCACTCTACCACCTAGGTGGGTATTAAAGTACTTATCGGTACATGGTAAATCATCAGTGACATCCAAGTCGTTAGTTGTAACGGGGCACCCTGAAGCCTGTACTGGTGACAGTACAAGCTACTTATTCTGATGACAGAATAAGGCGGTGCCTCGTAACTTCACGTACACTCGTACGTGCAGAGGAAGACGGTAAGAAGAAGCGAGTACTTGGTTAAAGTAAAAAGTAGAACTGCATTTATAATAGTTAATGTCTGTTAATAAACCACTGTTTATCTTCATCTAACTATGTCTAAATACAAATGTGTAAGTCAATTATCTGCTCACCACTCATTGCGTGCGTCTGTCGTGGCGCGTCTTCGTTGGTTGATATAATGGCCTATAACAACCAATTAGGAACTACTCGTGAGTGCTGCAGAATATTTGTCCTTATGACGATGTTCTGAGAATATAACTCTTATAGTTATATTCTATTAACAATTTCTTATAAATTGTTATGTAACGATTCACCCCGTTACATCACCCCCCCTAACCATCAGTCACTTTAGTGACTGATTGACTAAATGGATACTCGTCCCAAATCATTTGGGACAGGGTTTGCACTTGTTGGTCCGAGTCCACTTCCCAACATTTCATCGCATGGTAAACAAGCCCATGCGATGCGCGAGCAAGGCCGCCGAGAGCGCGTCTGCACGTCTCTGTGCGGACGCCGAAGCAGAAACCACAGCAACTGATGTCTCATCGGTTGCTGGAGCGACCCAGCCTGTGTCACTTGGTGATGCAGGCGCTGGTCATGAAGACACTCATGTCTTCACAGAGTACGAGCTCGGTGTCTCATACTCTCCTGATACGGAAGACGGATCCGTATCGACGGCGATTGAATCCAAGCCGCCTGTCAAGCGTGGCATGGACGATGCTTTGCGTCGCAGCATCTTTGGTTCATCTGATGAATCAGATGAACCATCGCCGAAGCGAAGGCGCTCGAGGTCGCGAGACTCGGGCGCTAACAGTGGTGTCGGTTCTCCTATGGACACCACTCCGCAATGAGGTGCCAGTTCTTCTGTCAGCACGTCGCAGGAAGAGCGGGACCGCAGCGTGTTGCGTCTCGCTCCCGAGAAGAAGGCATGGATCCCGAAAAAATCCGTCATGGATCGCTTGTCGGCGACGACGAGTGATCGTTATCGAACACGATTGTTCGATTCATCAAGGATCCATCAACTTGACCCCAGTGTGAAAGACTATCGCGCTGAACATGAATTCTTCATCGATGCTTTCTTCAAACATCGATGGTACAGTGGGAATCACAAACGTGATGGTCCCTCACTGCTTTAAGCGTGGAACGCCTACATCCATAACCTCGAGGATGTAGGTCGTGACGCTTGGAACGACAAACTTATCAAAGCTCGTGATAAGTTCGAAAAGCGAACCCCGACAGGTGCACGCTACAATCTGCATCGTCTGTCAAGGGAGAAAGGATTACCCTGCCTCTCTTGGGGAGACTCGTGACCATGTTGTGTGAACAACTCTGCACGAGCACCTAAGGAGACTTACCTCCCTAATAGCCCGTGGTGGCGTGTACGTATCTCTAGTGAGATGTACGAAGGGATTGACAACCTGAAATCCCTTTACGACCGTGCCGGGAAGACTTTCTCCGGCGGTCCTTCTGCGGCACAGGATGTGCCGCGTCGTACTGCTCAACCAGACCCAGTACGTCAACCATCAGTTGGGAGCGGGGCTCCCAAGTATCCCAGGACGGGGGATAGCCGCGCCACCGGACGAGATAACTCGTCCGACGTCCGTTCACGTCACGGTGGTTCGACAGCTGCTCAACTAGATAGTGCTGGCCACCGCGAGATTCCTGGAGGAGGAAAGACGCTCTCCACACAATCGTGGGGATGCGTATGTTCCCGAGAGCTTCTTTGATCGCGTAACGCAAGGGTTACGCGGCGATCTCGAACACGAGCGGGACAGGCGTCTCCAAATGGCGGACACTGCCTCGAAGCATCGAGCTGGGTTTGCCTTTGCTCAGCTCGAGAACGAGAGAGCTCTGACATCTCTTCGTGACGAGCTAAGGGTAGCTCGTGGGATTGTTGATCGGTCTCGGGATGAGATAAATGCTCTTCAGACCCTTGTTGATGCCCACCATCGGGAGCACAAGGCTCTCTGCGAGATACTTGAGCGCAAGGGCGTTCTTCATCGGAAGAAGCAGCGTACTGATGGTACGGCTTAAGCCGACCAACGTAAAACGTGGGATGCGTTCGCATCTTACGTGGCAACTCGATCGTGTATGCATTGCCTAGGCGGTGCAATACACGAAATGGGCCGATGTACTTGGGTAGTAGTTTACTGATACCCAAGTTAGTCACTACATGCTTTGGTAGATTAACCGTAGACAGTAGGACTAAGTCACCTTTACTAAATAAAAGAGTGTTTGCCCTTCCATTCTTGTCAGCGTTTTGCTTTTGCTTATCCACCGCTTCGGCGATGGAGTCTTGCACAAAACGGACTACCGTTTCACGAGCCAGTATGAACTCATCTGGTGACTCGTTAGCTTCAGTGCGCTGTGAGTGCACTGCAGCAACATCAACCTTTTCTTCAGTGCGGGCTTCCGCACTCTCACTGGCATCATCTTCTTCGATATCGATGTTATCGATATCGGTATTAAACGCAATGACCTCTTCGTCAGAGCGTGATGAGCGTGAACCAAATCGGTTTTTGCTCGCGCGAGTCCCTCCCCCCCCTTAAACCAGAGTTACACTCTAGTAAGGTGGGTACACACGGATGGCGTAATCCATTCACGTAAAACGGTGTATGTGTCGTGAACGCATGCACCGAGTTGTTAATGGCAAACTCTACCATTGGCAAAAACTCACTCCAACTCTTAAAGGAGTGTACGTATCCTCGAAGTATCTCTTCAAGGACACGACTGGCACGTTCCGTCTGACCACCTGACTCTGGGTGATCAGATGTCAACATCTTCAAGCGCGTTCCGAGTGATTTGAATACGGAACGCCAGAAATCAGCAGTGAATCGTGGATCTCTGTCTGATACGAGTTCACGGGGCAACCCATGAAGTCGAAAGATGGTGTTAATAAAGCCACAAGCACAGCCACTTGCCGTGATTGACTCTGGTACAGCTACAAGGTGTACCATTTTGCTGAATCTGTCAACAAATACGAGAATACCCGTATTCCCGCGTGCGTCTTTGGGTAACCCGAAGACGAAATCCATTGAGATGGATTCCCAGCACTCTACTGGAACTCGTAGAGGCTTTAAAGGTGCACGCAGTGAAGGACATGACTTCACTCGTTGACAGACTTCGCATGCGCGAACATACTTTCGCACACACTGATACTGGCGGGGCCAGTAAAAGTCTCGACTCACCGTGAGATATGTTTTCTCTCGGCCACGATGTACTCCTATAGGAGCATCGCGATACTCGAACATGATCCGCAAACGCAGATCAGTATCATCTGGAATGACAACACGTGGTGTGTCTCCAGAAACGGCTGTATAATACAGTAAACCGTTACGAGTAGTGTGTCGATCTGATGCAGATCGATACGCAGACGATAATCGTTTCAACGATTCTCGAGATGGCTGTGAGAGATGGGTCAACAACTTCACAATCTCACCATCTTTGGCGTACGCCCGCCTCACGTCATCATACGACGTTGTAGATGGGACTGAGGACGTCATAACCGCAACAGTGACTGTCTCACTGTTGGGTTTCACGACTGTTTCGAAGTCGGGCCGACGTGAGAGTGCATCAGCGACGACATTAAGTCGTCCTGGTTTGTACTCTACCGTAAAGTTGTATTCCGCAAAGAATGACAACCACCGCGCCATTCGTTGTGAAAGGTGCGGGCTGTTCACTGCCTTGCGTAATGAAGCATGGTCAGTGTAAACAATGAAGGGTCTATCTCCTGATAGATAGACTCTGAACTTCGCGAGTGCATACTTCATGGCAAGGAGTTCCTTA